GGGGAGACTGTTGGCGCCAAAGAGGACGAACTGGCCACCCCTGGGGGGGACGTGCTGTCAAATCAGCCTACTGATCATTCTTGTATGGAACTGGTTCCAAACGTAAACAAACGCTGTAGGTTTCTTATGGCTCTTTTTACGTTTGGAACCAGTTATGAGAGGTAGGCGATGATTGTTCGTATTTGACAGCCACCTTGATCACCTTGATCACGGATGTTCCTGAAGGGTGTAGCGCAACGGTCGAAGCTGTCAGTGTCAGCGAGTAAGCGTCTGGCAACCAATCCTTTGGCACGGCCATTGGTTCTTGAAGCTGTCGTCAGTGATAGCGGTGGCGTTGATGTTGGAATGATTTTAAGCTTCAGTCATACGTTACCATCATCATGGCTTGCGATGAGTTTCATCCATCCGAGTATGACCAAGCCGGCCCACCACGTATGACCACCACGGTCATTGTGTCTTGAAGTTATCGTGAACTCACTTGCATGCACTGCTTTCTTATAATTTCATAGGGCGATAGAAACGCAACTGAAAAATACCGAGAGATAATATAAATTTTCATCAATACCATAACGTTACCATGGCCGTTCAATCAAACGCATAAACGGAGCTGAAACTCGTAATCATCAGCTGTCAATAACTGACGTATAATCGAACCAAAGAGCCAAAAAAATCGGCTTCAAGCAAAGTGTTCTTGGATGACTTTTGTGCCACCGGAGTGCTGGCAACACGATCGAAGGAGCCGACTTCCGGAAAAAGAAAAAAAAGGCAGTGCAAGTAAGCAGTGAACACACAAGATTTTGCTACAGATAAAATTTGTTTTTCCTATTACCTCGCCTATTACTACAATAATTAAACTAGATTAAAAGTAGGGATAAAGGTAACTTGATTATAACTAAAATTTCCTTAAAGGGTGATACGGTCAAAATTTGGTCAAGGGAAAACGCGTGTAAATCGGTGAAATCGTTTATTTAAAAAATCAAATTAAATTTCTTTTTCAAGTTCAATTAGTATAAAATTCAAGAAAAATATTCAGTAAGGCTTCCGCTTTTCCAAATCCGAATTGCCGGGCCTTACGCTTGACCCCTGCCATCAGATTTTATACAGCCACCTTGTCCACCTTCTTCGCCGCAGAAAGCCAGTTTGCCTTGAACTGCTGCTCGCCCTTAGCAGTTTTTTTGGTCTTCTTTAGGTTCCGCTTGACAATAGCCCAGTATTTCTCAATTGGGCGGAGCTCTGGCGTGTTGGGAGGGTTCTTGTCCTTGGGAACCACCTGCACGTTGTTGGCGGCGTACCACTCCATGGCCTTTTTACCGTAATGGCAAGATGCCAAATCCGACCAAAACAGTACGGTACAACCGTGTTTCTTCAGGAAAGGCAGCAGACGTTTATTCAAACACTCTTTCACGTAAATTTCTTGGTTGACAGTCCCGGAAGCTATGAAAATGCTGCTTTTCAAGCCACAGGTACAGATGGCTTGCCAAACCAGATATTTCTTTGCGAACTTTGACAGTTTCATGTGCTTGAAAACATCTGCTACCTTTCCCCTTCCTTTTGCCGTATAAAACTCCTGTCCCGGAAGCTGCTTGTAGTCGGCTTTGACGTAGGTTTCGTCGTCCATTACCACGCAGTCAAACTTCGTCAGCATCGTCGTGTACAGCCTCCGGGATAGCGCTTTGGCCGTCGTATTTTGTTTATCATCGCGATTTGGAGTCACTACCTTCTTGTAAGTCGATAGTCCGGCTCGTTTTTTGGCTCGATGCACGGTTGTAGACGATACACCCAGCTTATTTGCGGCATCTCGGAGAGAGAGGTTAGGGTTTCGCTTGAAACTACCGGCAACCAGGGTTCCTTCCATTCATTTTGGCTAAAAAAATGTTTTATAAAATTATGGAATAATAAGATATTATAATAATATTTTGTTTGTGTAAGCAACAAGAAAAGATTGTGGAGTTTGTGTTTGACACATAATACCAGCCAATGTTGCTGCATGAGAGTCGCAATAAGCGATTTTGTCATTTATCTCACCCACTCTTCACTCTTCACTCTTCGCGAAGAGGCGATCAGAAAATTGCTCATTGTGGCTCTGTCAAAGCTAAATTTGCAGGTTTTATGTGTCAAACACAAACTTTAAAAATTTGTCTAGTTCCTTACACATACAAAATACTATCATAATATCGTATTATTCCATAATTTCCTAAAACATTTTTTTAGTCAAAATGAATGGAAGGCACCCTGCCGGCAACTCTCTTTGTCGTCTCAGCGGCTTCCGGTTTTCGATTTCCCCCCGATCCAGACTTCCTGGCTGTCGACAAACGTTCCCCAAACACTTTAATTACATTTGTAACGGTTGATTTGGCAACTTTTAGCGATTTTGCCAACTTTGCGTGCGAGTAGCTCGGATTTTCGCGATGCACGAGCAAAATTTTGATACGCTGCTCTTCTTGCTTGGACGGCATTTTGACAACTGAAGAGTGAATTCCAAAATCAAAATAGGAGCAACATTCTACACACACACACCTTCAAAATGAGGGGTGTTCAGGTTTTTTAAATGCAAAATTGAAAGAAATACGTCAAGTTGATATTGACCAAATTTTGACCGTATCACCCTTTATCTAGACTGAAATTAATTGCCATAAAAATATTGATGGTGAAACCTAACCTAACTTAACCTAAATTCGGATAAAAGGCTCTAGATCAGGAAAGCGAGCACGAAAGGCCACTGATTAGTAAGTACTCTTGAGGAATTATATTAACTTAAACTAATTGTAACCCTCCCAAGCTTTGAAGCTGTAACGATAAAAAAAAACCGCTATCAAAATCAGTGCGGGCTTTTTAATCCGACGGACGCAACAATTACAAAGGATTTACATCCCTCTACCGTTATGGAATTATTATCAATGTCGAGTTTCCTCATTTCAGGATTTAATTCAGCAAAATGAGAAGCCTTTTTGATTGATATTGTGAGACTGAGTATTAATTTTCATGAGCTAAAAAGAATTTTCTCCGAAAATGTAGCCAAATTTTTGGCTTGAAATCACACCACCACATCACAAAAAAAAACTTCGAAGACATTACAGTTAGCAATCTAACTTGGATCTTTTAAAGCATGAAACTAATCATTCTGTCTGACGGCGGTTGTTTGCAGAACTTCATTTGTTGAAAAATGTGAGGCTACTTTGTTTACTCGCTGCAAATATATTTACTCTGAGTACAATCAACATAGAGTTATTTACATCTATGGTACAATTGTCTTGCCCCTTAATACCACCGACAAACCGACATGAAACAAACTTAATTCTTGATTGAGAATCCATAACGGCCGATTCAAATGTGCAGTGATCCCATCTGTCAAAACCATAGAAATGTTTTATCTAGATAAAAATAATTTGTTCGATATGGATTGGACTCGAACCAACTCATAAATTTTGTACGCGTGTTCGTGGCTAGGATAAATATTTCCGCGAACACGGCGGCAGATGTCAGTTTTGTGCTTTGAACAGAAATTTCTTTGTAATTTGTATGGTCATTCATGTCGATTTGTCGGTGCTTTTATTTATTATTATTATTATTTAGCTTTATTTAGGAGGCTTTCAGCCTTAGGCTGGTTCGCCTCCACGCTTTTATTTGCGATAAGAGGATGACTAAAGCCATTGTTTACAAATGCAATTACGCCGCTTTGAAATGTTGGCACTGATATATAGGATTACTAGTTGGGAGCAGGCTTGCTGAAGTCTCACTCGCGAGTTTGAAATGAGCCGAGCGTAGCATTTTTCTGAGGAGTAGAATGCCTACTGCCAAATCATTCCTCTGAGCTTCAGAGCTTGTGAGCGGAGGGGGATAAAATGAGAGTGAGGTTTACTGCCATTCATGTTCATGTTTTCTATCACACGCTCTTACTCTCACTCTGGGTGAACTCTGAGCTTCTTGCGTCGAACAAAAAAGTCATCCGGAGTCTCGAAAAGCGCACCTCACGTCAAGGTCAAATCATCCTCTCGCTGAAATTCACTCTCCCTCTCTCTCGAGGAGTTTTTGTTTACTTCTTCCATATTCCTGCCGCCACTCACTCAAGGTGAGGGGTGGCTAAACTCGCAGGACAAGAGTGTTTTAAAACCTCCAGTGAGTTTGAGGAGTTTCAGCAAGCCTGGTTGGGAGTCCACCGGGAAGCCAGCCCTAGCCATCTCGATTATCCATTGGATGATGCGGTCTCCCTCTTGCTTATTTAAAACGGTTGGTCTTCCTGGACGCATTACTTTCGAAGCGCCAAGGGCAATTTTTTTTTACGAAGAGTGCTCTCCGGGATTCCATAGACTTTTGCGGCTCGGCGAACCGAAAATCCTCTTCTGACCATATCCATGGCCAGAACCAAGTGATTTTGATTGTACTGCACATCCTTCCGGTCACGATTCATCTTGGAACACTCTGCGCATGATTAGGAACATAAATAAAAACAATAGTGCTTCAGAGAAAAATAATATTGTGGTGATAACAATATTCGTAAAATGTAGAAAGAATGCAAGAATGCTTGAAATGCGCACAATTAGGAACTGCGTGCAAGTAGGAACTGCGTACAAGTAGGAACTGCGCACAATTAAGGGCGATCACGGTATTCATTTGTTCCGGCCTGACTAATCCTTCCTTCTTTCTTTATACAGGTAATTCCATTCATCAGGATTCAGTAGAATTATGAAAATCATTACGCGCCAAATAAGGATGAAACTAGATTCGTCTCACCGAGATTATAAGTATCTGCGATTTACCAACACTCTTGCAGGACAAGTACAAATTAGCACTTATTATTCAACTAGGAAAAAGGGCCACACTTATCTAATCAAATATTTAAACAATACCGGCGTAGCCAGCGCTCAACAACAATCAAGAAGAAAGAGCAAACATCGCACACTGCTGATCTCTGTAAACGCCACAGAATACGTATAGAGGTAGTAGCTAATTGAGTGCGAACATTGACAATCAGTATCACTGTACCGTTCGAAGACACCAGACGGACGGTCTTTCTCCACTAGTCAGGTCCAACCGAAGCATCGCAAAATGGCACCAAAGAACGATAACCTCTGCGCACTGGTGTACGGTCCGAACGATCTCCGCTTGGAGCCCCGGCCTATTCCCGAACCCGCCTTCAACGAGGTGGTCGTCGAAGTCGACAGCTGCGGAATTTGCGGAACGGACATTCACTTCCTCAAGGATGGGGGCTTCGGAGCTCAGAGGCTCGTCAAGCCAATCGTACTGGGGCACGAATCTGCTGGAGTTGTGCGGAAGGTTGGCAGTCAGGTGACGCACCTCAAAATCGGGGATCGAGTGGCGATCGAGCCGGCTGCCGGTTGTAGGACCTGTGATCTGTGCAAGGTTGGCAAGTACAACATTTGTCTGGATGGCAAGCATTGCACAACGCAAAAGCACGATGGAAACTGCTCAAATTACTACGCACAATATGCGGACTGCTGTTTTAAGATGCCGGACCACGTTACGATGGAGGAAGGTGCTCTACTGGAGCCGCTGGCCGTAGCCGTTTATGCCGGTCGACGGGCTCAGATTGGATTGGGTAATAAGGTCGTTATTTTTGGAGCAGGCCCGATTGGGTTGGTGTGCTTGATTGCGGCCAAAGCCATGGGGGCTACGAGGACTGTGATTTTGGATTTGGAACACGCAAAGCATCGGTTGGAGGTGGCCAAGCAGCTGGGCGTGACCGGAGTGATCGGAATCAAGAAGGAAGATACGGAGGAAGAACTGGTGCAAAGGATTCACGAGATACTGGGAGGACCGGCCGATAGGGTGCTGGAATGTTCCGGTTCGCAGCCGGGTATGAGAATTTCGATCAAGGCCACACGGAATGCCGGAAGGATTTGTCTCGTGGGGCTGGGAAACAAGGACGTCCAGCTACCGATGGTGGATGCCATTTCGAGGGAAATTGACATTACGACGTGCATGCGGTACAATCACGAGTAAGTGGTAGACATTTAAAACCTTCCTGTGTAACGTCTCACATCTCTTTTTTCCATTTTTTTTTTTTTCAGCTACCCAGCGGCGATGGAAATCGTTGCCAGTGGATATGTGAATGTGAAACCGCTGGTTTCCCACCACTTTGATCTGTCCAACGTGCAAGAAGCATTCCGAGTAGCTAGCCAAGGCGAAGGAATCAAAATCATGATCCACCTTGTTCCACGGGACACCAACAATCCGGTCAAATTCACCAACTAACAACTGAAAAGGAGATTTCTTTCCCAGTAACGTTGCCATATTCAGTTGTAGTATCAGCTATACATAATATATTAAAATAGAGTATGTGAAAACCACCTAGACCTATCATTAGACTTACCTTATTAGAAATCCCACCCGCGATATTCTTTGACGATACTGTTGTTATCCTTTCGCATTCGTCGAACGGCACTGGCTTCTCCCTTCGGAACGGCTCGGTTTTTCTGGTCTTTCTTCTCCTGTTGCCGAAGGCCACCCTTGACCCGGTCGGCCACAACCGACGGAGCAATCGTGCTGGCCGTCGTCGAGTAGGACCGCGCACTCCGTGCATCGTCCAACAGCTTCCGGACCATAATCATGCGGTATTCGCGCGAACTAGGATCCAGCTCGGCCAGTTTGTCGTCCTGCTCGTTGGTGATCAGCTCATTCGAACTGATCGAGGCGGCGTCGTCTTCATCGTTTCCATTATCGATTTGCGTCAGCTGACTTTGGCCCTGTTGTGGTAAGGTCGGTTCCAGCAAGGTAGCACCCACTGCCGCTGCTCCATCCACCAGTGCATCCTTAAAGATCTCCTCCTCTTCATCGTTGAAAGGCTTGTCCATCTCTTCGGCAGACATTGATGCAATGTATTTTAGGATGCTGGAGTTCTTCTCGTCTTGCTTCGAGGCCGGAGCTGGAATTATGAAAATATATTTAGACAGTCAATCAACAGATTAACCAAGCAAAACTCACTTGGCTTTTCTTCGGAAAATTTGATTTCCTCCTCTAGCTTCCTCCTGCACTCTTCAATTTCCTTCTCATCCAAATCTCCCGTCACGCTATCCTGGTACTCCTCATCACTACCTTCTTCATCACCATCCTCCTCCCCTTCCCCATCGCTTTCCTGATGGTACTCCTTCAGGATATCATCCTCCATTTCCTGGGTGAATCCATATCCTGAGCACAGCACCTCCTTGTCCAGCTCATCATCCCGTTCCAAATCACTAAACTTCGGATATTCCTCGCTCTCATAGCCGAACTTCTTCCGGAACAAATCCCTCACCCCCGTCACATCCCGATCGAAGTACATCTCCGCATTCGGATGCGAGGTCGACACCATCTGCGGGAAATCGATCAGAATCGGCTTCTGATCTTCCGTAATCATGACATTGAACTCGTTGAAATCCCCGTGAATCACGCCACAATTTCCCAGCCGAACAATCAAATTCATCAAATCGTCATACAGCGCCTCGACGTTGCCCACCTCGGAAATGTTCGTCAACGGATACCCGTCCACCAGTTCCATCACCACGCAGTGCCTGTTGAAGTCGATCGGTTCCGGAACGGGGAATCCTCGATCGTACAGCGCCTTCATGTAGGCAAACTCTCTGGTGGCAGAAATTCGCGACAAATACAACCAACTCATTCTGTTCCGCTTCCCGTGGTAGTCCCGCTTCTCCTTCACATTCCGGAAGCAGATCCGTCCCAGCCGATGAAGCTTCAAACACAGTGGAGTTCCTTCCTCATTGACCACTGTGTAGATGTTGGACTCCTTGCCCACACCGATCTGATTACCGAATCCGGAAACGGAACCCCTCAACGTAAGCGACTTCAACGCCAGATAATCGTATCCCGTGTTCGTTAATCGATAACCATCGACTGAAATTAAATTCAAATTAGCTAACTTCCACTATCGCCCTGAAACCATATCGACTCACATCTCTTCCCACGTTCGTACGCGAGCAACTTGTGTTTGCAGAGTTCCCGCAGCAGTTTGTGGACACCGCCGGCTTTGAGACTAGCTATGGCCGCAGCCAGCGCCCCCGGGACCAGTTCGTGGTTCTTCATGCCCATTTCGATCTGTTCAGCGATACAAACATAATATATTATTCAATAATGTCCTCGACAGAATCTACTTACGGAAGTGAGAATCCGGAAGTCTTCCTTACTGAGGTACCGCAGAACGGTGACGTTGAGTTTTCCCATTTTAAAGCCACCGGGTTTTCACGATTCCAGACTGATTTTTTGCTTGGAAAATAGAAAATTCACTGAAAAACCACTGCGCAGAAAAAAAAACTGCATGGACCAACCGCCGCGTGCAAACTTTTGTTTTGATTCTGTGTTCCGTTTCGTTCCGTCAAAATCATTTATGTGCGTGAGGGGTTCGGTCGATTGGGTCAACAATGTCGAATAGTGTCTCATTCAACGACGTTTTAATATATCCACAGTGAGCATGCATAAGGGCGTAAACGCGATGATCGATTCTCTTCGTCGATTTTCTCTTTTTTAATAACTCGCTAGAATTAACGTTTCCCGGTGCGTTTGCTGTTGCTTTTGATAGCCAATATAACTTGTTACAACTCTGCATTGAACAACTTCTAGAAAATTGTTTCGTTTAGCTGTAGCAATGTAAAGAGAAAATCGATTAAGAGAATCGATCATCGCTTTTACGCCCTTCTGCATGCTCACTGTCGATATTATAAGGTCCAAGCCAACAGGCAGTTATTTTGCTTGAAAAATATTAATTTTGCTGCCATTCTTTACATCCTCTCAACACCAGTCAAACATTGGCGCCTTTTTTCCAGAGCAAAAATAAGAACTCGTTCGTGACATTCTCAATATTTGCTGCTCCACCTCTCGACTGCTCGTGAACGGGCATCTCTCATGGCCGATCAACATCGAACGCTCGGTGCGGCAGGGGGACCTATTGTCAATGCACCTCTTCGTGCATCTTCTGATTTGCAGACTTGAACAAGCGCATGGTGGGTAGTGGGTATATAAATGGTGATACAGCTTTGTCACTATATAGACGAGGAGGTCGCGGGGGGGGGGAAGTGCGGGTTTAGAGCTAATTGTAAACAAACTCGGCCGCTGTCCCATACAAAAATCCAACATAGCTGATGTAGTCACCTATATGTAGTCACCTTGAACAAGCGTGCGGGATTGATCTGCTGGTGGCGCATATAGACGATATCACATCGCCTGAGCAAGTCAAAACGATGAATGATCTGTTTACGCAATTCGAGATAGCCTCCGGTGTCAAACTGAATGTGCAAAAACTGTGTCCATACATGTTGGGTATTGTGAGGGAAACCGAATAGACGTTCAATGGCTGCAAACAGCCAACACGGTGAAGATCCTGGGAGTGATTTTCTCCAATTTGATCCTGCTGATGACGGCACTGAATTGGGATGCGGTGGCTGGTAGTTCGCGCTACTGATGTGGCTCCAGTGATCGCGAACATTAACCCTGCAACAAAAGCTGATTATGCTGAATACGTTCGGTACCTCTTAGATCTGATACCTTTCCTCTATACTACCACCGCTCGGCGTACACATATCAAAACCTACGTCGAAGATGGGTACTTTCCTGTGGAGTGCGATGATCGCCAGGATTCCAATGTTGCAGATGGCAACCGCGAGCATGGTGGTCTGAAGCTACAATTACCGGCGCCCAAGTGCAAATCGCTCGGCATCAACTGGCATTTGCCAGTGATCGATTCCCTTCCCTACTATCGATCCCTTGTTTTCCATGACAATCCCCACCTAACAATCTCAATTGATCCTCAAACTTACCTCAAAGTCCCCTCAAACTTACCCCAACAAAACCCCTCCGCCGATCTTATCCACCAGGATTTCGTTCAACGAACCGAACTGCCAAAGGTGGAACAAAACAATCCGGAAAACAACTGTCGTGGCAGAACATAGCATACAAGCAGCTAACCGCAGCGCAAAAAAACAGTTTTTATCTGGCGATGAACGGCAAAATTTTTATTCATACGGAAAGTGGAAAATGAAGAATGCTCATACTGTGACAACCGAACAGCCGATACACTTCAACACAAATGTTGCTCCTAAGATCGTGTCAGTCCAGTTTGGACGGTTTTACAGCAGAAGATATCTGCCATTCTGAACGGGTGGCGACGGCTCTCGTTTGACGATCTGATCAGACATGCCCTGGAGAGAATTGACCGATTATTTAATTGCAATTGACAACTTTGTCAAGCAGTTTTTTTGTGACTTTCTACCAGAGATTCCACAAAACTGAACCAACTAATTTCTATTTGTTATGAAACACACAAATCCGGAGAACTTTGCACGTAATTGCTTTTGTAAACAAACATGTCTATCGCCGATTTCTCATCAATTGAAACTCAATCTCGCAAGTAAACCATATCAAATGATAGAGGAATCATTTATCTACCTATTTGTGCCGTTAATTTTTTAGATTGAGCTTTAGTTTGCGAGAAATCGACGATCGTCGTTTTTGTTTACAAAAGCAATTACGCCATAATCTCAAAGTTCTCCGGAAATGATGGCTACTTTTGTCGTGGTTCTAGACGAAAAAATCTCAAAATAAGATTTTATTTCAAAGTTTGAGTGGTAGTAAACGTCATTCTAGTACAACATGTGAAAAGGGCATACAAGCTTTTTGTAAACAAACATTCTTATGCCCTTTTCTCGCCACTCATATAACACCAACGCAAACCATCAACATCGCCGGATAGGGGAAGGTTTCCCCTTCCCGATTATGTTGTTAGTTTGCGTGGGCGACCCTCGGTTGGCGAGAAGAGGGCCTACAAAGGTTTGTTTACAAAAAGCTTGTATGCCCTTTTCACATGTGGCTCTTGATTTAAACTGCTCAAATTAAGTGGTTAATTGCATGATGGAGCCAATATTTTGTAATGTTCGGAATAAGCTTTAAAATGGTTATCAAGTAAGAAACTGATCAAACTGCCAAATATTCTTTTGCTGCTTTCCCTCAGACCCGTTTATTTTGATGTTTAAAAATTTGTTCCTGAAATAATTGCTAACTTTCCAGCTCGGCAAAATTTTGCAGGTTTCCAGCGATAAAAAATGTATTAGTACGAAGGTCATCGAAAAGCTGCCCGACAATATCTGATTGATTAGCGGTGCCGGTGGTGTAGTTGTAAGCGTGATTACCTCTCACCCCAGCAGGCCTGGGTTCAATCCCAGTCGGCGCCGCCGGGATGTTCTGAGATATAACATCTCTGATCACACCTTCCCTCGGAAGGGAAGTAAAGCCGTTGGTCCCCGGTTCATGAGTTGATGGGTCGATAGGTAGGGTCCAGGTGTGGGAGCTCCCTCCCTGGCGTCGGTAGCATTGGTGCTCAGCACGGAAAACAAGATCGACGGAAAACAAATCAAGAAAACAAATCTGATTGATTGTATTTGGACCTTAATATTCTACTATCAAACGCCTGGATGACCTAATCGACCAATACCAGCTGTCATCCGCGTCTTCCTTTTGGGTGATCTGTCATCGCTTATGCCAAAGAGCGTCGTCGTCAAAGTCCCGTAATCGTCGCGACACGAGCAAAGGAAAATAACGCAAACATTATCCTAGCTTGCAATTTTTGGTGCATTTTTTATCTGCAACATTCGCGTCTGTAGGTGTGGTGAACTGCCGGCACCGGGGAAAGGAAGTGAGTGGGAACAGAGGGTTCTAAACGGAACGGACAAAAATCAATTTTTGCAAAAGGATTACATAAAGCCGCAACAGCAGGACGGCTGAGTGCGATTCGACGACCGTCCGTCCGTAGAGCGCGAATCGGACCGGATGGATTCCCGTCGTGATCTCGGTGGTCACTTTAGTTTCCGTTCTTCCCCTTCCCTTGGTGGCAACCAGTCGGCTGGCGTAGACGGGCTGCTGGATGATATTTGAAGCGATCCAGCTTCGTCATTCAACTCATACGCATCATTCGCTTCAATTGCAAACACAACACCAGCAGCAGCAGCTTCATCATCAACAGCTACAGCATCGCTTCCTAGGGGATCAGGATTTAGATCAGCACCATCAGCAGCAGCATAGATTAGACGGCGACGGGGACGGCGAAGTAGCGCCTAAACCATTGGATTTTCGTTTGACCAAAAGGCTTCTGGCGGCGGTGTTTTTTCTGCTTATCATCTACGCTTGGAAGCAGTATATCGAGGACGGCGAGGAATCCGATACCATCTACATTTGAGGGTCGAACGGGAGGAGTAAATCAATCGCCTTTTATAGAGTATTAATTAGGTCAGCACAGGATGAGCAGCAAGAAGGTGTCTTATTTCTTCAATCCGGATGTGGGCAACTTCCACTACGGTCCGGGTCATCCGATGAAACCGCACCGGTTGTCGGTGATACACCATCTGGTGATGAACTACGGGTTACACAAAAAGATGCAGATCTATCGACCGTACAAGTGAGTATTTGGCTTTTCGGTTGGATATTTAATGGAGTAATTTTGGATCTTTCATCGCAACAGAGCCAGCGCCCACGACATGTGCCGCTTTCACAGCGACGAATACATTGAGTTCCTACAGCGCGTAACACCTCAGAACATCCAGGGTTACACCAAGTGCCTATCGGTGTTCAACGTGGGAGACGATTGCCCGGTGTTCGATGGGTTGTTCGAGTTTTGCGCCATGTACACCGGAGCGTCACTCGAGGGAGCCCAAAAACTGAACCACAATCACAGTGACATCTGTATCAACTGGTCCGGCGGGTTACATCATGCAAAGAAATTCGAGGCTTCCGGTTTCTGCTACGTAAATGACATCGTAATCGGCATTCTGGAACTGTTGAAGTATCACCCACGGGTTTTGTACATTGACATCGATGTACATCACGGAGATGGAGTTCAGGAAGCATTCTACTTGACGGATCGGGTGATGACGGTTTCGTTCCACAAGTACGGAAACTACTTCTTCCCCGGTACGGGTGATATGTACGAAATCGGTGCCGAATCCGGAAGGTACTACTCGGTGAACGTACCGCTGAAGGAAGGGATCGACGATCAGAGCTATGTGCAGGTATTCAAACCAGTCATATCGGCCGTCATGGAGTTCTATCAGCCGACTGCGATCGTCCTTCAATGCGGAGCTGATTCACTAGCAGGAGATCGCCTAGGTTGCTTCTCACTCAGTACGAAAGGCCATGGAGAGTGTGTTAAATTCGTTAAAGATCTGAATGTCCCAACGCTCGTGGTTGGAGGCGGTGGTTACACGCTCCGTAATGTGGCACGCTGTTGGACTTATGAAACCTCCCTGCTGATCGATGAAACCATCTCCAACGAGCTTCCCATGAACGATTACCTGGAGTTCTTCGCTCCGGACTTCACACTCCATCCGGACATTCCTAGCCGACAGGACAATGCCAACAGCAAGCAGTACCTTGAGGCGATCACGCGCCATGTCTACGACAACCTGAAGATGTGTCAACACGCGCCGAGCGTACAGATGTTCGACATTCCCGAGGATGCTCTGCCGGAGGACGTCAAGGTGAAGGAGGAGCCTAATCCGGAAGCACGGTTGACCCAGGAGGAGGAGGACAAGCAGGTCGAACCGAAGAACGAGTTCTTCGACGGCGAGAATGATAACGACAAAAGCGAAAATGAACCCTAGCGGTAGGCTTTGTTTGGCAGGGCGTGGTACTGCGTAGTTTGGTGAAAATTGAATTTAAGTAGGGTTTAAAGCTATATTCAATTAGGAAGGAAATGAGAACTACAAAAATAATACTTCAATTATTTTAATTGTACATTTCTATTAAGCTTAAATGCAAATCGTAGGCAGTACGATTACCAACTCGTTTTTTAAATAATAATTCTAGTAATAAACAAATTAAATAAGCACTTGGTAAGCTTGATTCTGCGTTCTCAATTCATACTGTTTCGTACACGGCGAATGAGAACGACCCAAATTTGAGTTTAGTTCACTCATAATCGCCAAAAGTGCAGGAACTCAGCGATGAGTAAAATTTGTCTCATGGTTTCCTGTGGAAAACCTAAAAAATCTGCCGGAAAATGAGGAAATTGACGAACATTTTATTCAGTCTCGGACTAGTACCAATAGACTGAGTGAATCCAATCTTTACTTTTCTCAAATTCGGGAATTTTTCCCTGGGAAAACATGAGGCAAATTTACTCATCGCTGAGTTCCTGCACTTTTGGCGATTATGAGTGAATTAAACTCAAATTTGGGTCGTTCTCTTTCGCCGTGTACATTCCGACATCATTCTTATGTTTGAACTGAAAGTGATACACCCTAATTTTAGGGACGAAAGATTTGTTGCAAGTTCAATTTAAACACCCCTCGTACATTCTAACCGATTTGCACACGAACCGCTTCCAGGCAAGAACTCACGAGAGTACCGATTCGTATTCGCGCCGCATGGCTCTCAGAGACGAGAACTTTAGTCATACAATTTATTTTGTGATGAATTTAAATGAGTTTTTTCTATGAAAATTTGACTAAAAATATTTTAAAAATTGCCCTGTAATTTAGGTTTATCAAAGATTTGTTTATTTTTTTTAGTGAATTTTAATCTCGTTGAAAAAGAGATTGGCTGAGCAGTATTGGAGGTCACTCAATTTTCTCGTTTCTCTATTTGATTTGTTACCAAACGACAAAATTGAAACGAGAAGGATTTTTTGTAAATTCAAACTTTGATAGGTACCTATTTAGATAATGTTGAATAAGTTCTGCATCGTTCGTGCAATCATTTAAAAAAAAAAAAAAAACGTGCGTCATTCTAAATCACGGGAAAACAGCAAAGAAAATCTGTTTTCTGTAGAGTGGCGACGATCCCGAGAGCAGTGTACTGCCTGTAATAGCATATCAGTCCCATGTGGATTATCGTCAATGCACCAGCAATTTCACAAAACTGGATCAACAAACTAAAAATTTTTGTATGAAACGCACAAATGTTGCACAACTTTTCTCGAGGTTCTAGAAGGAAAAATCTCAAAATATTGTTTTATTTCGAAGTTCGAGTGGTATAATAAATTGACCACTTTGTCAAGCAGTTTTGGCGTAACTTTCTACCAGCGATTTCCCAAAACTGGACCAAATAATTTCTATTTTTTTGTGAAACGCACAAATGTTGACTACTTTTTTCGAGGTTCTAGAAGAAAAAATCTTAAAATAATGTTTCATTTCAAAGTTCGAGTGGTAGTAAACGTCATTTTATCTGCTCGAATGAAGTGGTTAATTTCATTTTAACTGCTCGAATGGGGTGGTTAAGTTTTTAGGTAACACGCCACTATTCACTATGTTATTTTAGATTGCTCGAATGATTTGATTCATGGATTACATCATTCTATATAGTAGTTAAAAATTACATTTCCTACCAGTCCGAACTTTACCACGGACCAATATTTTGATATTTTTATACGAGGGTACGGGGGGTTTTATACGAGATTTAGGCCGTTCGCAATGCTGTTGTATTTTATAAGGACTGTTTCAATTTGAAACTAGAACAGAAACGCACCTTTCGCAATGCTGAGTTGCAGTTTCATTATTCAAGCACTATTTTGCACCAGATTTGCAACTGCTCGACTATTCTGTTTTATTTCTTAGCGAATTTGAAACACGAATGGAACTCTGTTTCAAATTTCTTTGGATGTATTTAAATATGTTTCGAAGAGCTTCACAAAAAAAAACGGAGAACTTCATAGGGAATAGTAAAGTTTATGGAACATGATGATTACAAACATCTTTTAGAACTGTGCGTTGCGCTGATCGTGTTGCAGTTTTAAATTATAGAACTGTCGAGTAGTTTAAACAATTTTGAAACTCAGCATTGCGAACGGCCTTAAGACTCGGTTTTATATATAGTATTTTACTTCTGAAACTGGCCTCCTCAAAAGTGCGGCATAGTAACAAAAGTACGCTTTTAGGTTGATGAACCCAAAGGAATAAGTGCACCAAAGAACTTTAGACTTTAGAAATCATCCCAAATTTATAGCCTCAATTTATACTAATTCGAGTAAAAAATCTCTGTTAGAATAATTTCCCAAAACTGCTCGAATATGTGATTATTTTTTATTTTATTTTTTTCTTAATTTGTATTCCGTCGAACTTGTTGTCCGTTTTGAGTACTAGGCAGCTCCCTGTACCCTACGATGGCACCGACTGGGATTGAACCCAGGCACTTTGGGTGAGAGGCAATCACGCTTACCGATGTAGCCCCGCTATGTGATTAATTGACCACTCTGTCAAGCAGTTTTGGCGTGACTTTCTACCAGCGATTTCTCAAAACTGGACCAACTAATTTTTATTTTTTTATGAAACGCACAAATTTTGGCTACTTTTCTCGAGGTTCTAGAAGAAAAAATCTCAAAATAATGTTTTATTTCAAAGTTCGAGTGGTAGTAAACGTCATTTTAAGTGCTCAAATGAAGTAGTTAATTAACCATTTCATTCGAGCAGTTCAAAATGAAGTTCACTACCGCTAATAAACGGTGTATGATACTAACGGTATCATAAATGGTACAATCATACCACATACAATTGGGATGATATCCCGAATTGGTGGTTAGGCGCTTCTTATGGTTATTGTTTATGTTGGACCACATTCGAAATAAAGCTATATTTGATTTTTTTTTTCTAGAACCATGACATTTATTAAAAAATAGTAATTTGTTGTTCATTGCTGCATTTTCTTGCTCCACAAAAAAAAATCGAGAGGTAGCAAACGTCATTTTCAACTGCTCGAATGATGTTATCCATTAACTAACTAACTATACTTCACAATTCTGATTGTGATATAATTGCTCTCTGTGAAACATGGCTTTCTTCCGATAAAGAACTCAACTTCCACGATTTTAACATTATACGCCTGGATAGAGACGATTCTTATGGAGGAGTACTTTTAGGGATCAAAAAGTGCTACCCTTTCTACAAAATTTCCCTTCCTGCTCTATCCGGCGTCGAAATCGTTGCTTGCCAAATAAATGTGAAGAACAAAGATCTTTGCATAGCTTCAGTATACGTTCCACCAAGAACCTCCATTAGCCGTAGTCAACTCTGGAATCTAATTTCGATTCTTCCATCCCCAGTATTAATTCTGGGTGATATGAACTCCCATGGTACTGAATGGGGCGATCTATATGACGACAATAGAGCGGCTATTTTTTTACGATTTATGTGACGATTTCAATTTGATTATTTTGAACACTGGTGAAGCGACACGTATAGCAAAACCTCCGGCCCGAGAAAGCCGACTCGACCTATCTTTGTGTTCAAGATCGCTATCATTGGATTGTCAGTGGAAGGTTATCAATGATCCCCATGGTAGCGATCATTTGCCAATCATCATTTCAATTAAGTGTGGCCCTCACTCTGCAGAACCATCTCGGGTTCCATTTGATCTTACAAGGAACATCGACTGGCAGAAATATGCAACGGCGGTGACAATCGGTGTCGAATCAATAGATGCGCTTCCACCATTGGAAGAATATCGATTCCTAGCCGATTTGATTTACAAAAGCTCACTGGAAGCACAAAAAAGAAAAGTTCCAAGTGCACCCTTTAAAAGGAGACCAGCCACACCTGGTTGGGACGAAGAATGCACAAAATTGTATGTAGAAAAATCTGATGCTTTCAAAGCTTTTCGTAGACACAAAACCTCCACTTACTTCGAGGAATATTCAAAGCTTGAGACAAAGCTGAAACAATTAATCAAAGCAAAAAAACGCGGTTATTGGCGCAATTTCGTCGAGGGACTCTCACGAGAAACCTCAATGAACACCTTGTGGAGGGTGGCTCGCAACATGCGTAACCGCTCATCTTTCAATGAGAGTGAAGAATACTCCAACCGATGGATATTCGATTTCGCTAAAAAGGTCTGTCCGGACTCAGTTCCAGCACAAAATATTCTTCGAGAAGCGTCTCCTAGCGGCGGCTCTCTGGATAGACCATTCACAATGCTGGATTTCTCTATGGCTCTTCTTTCATCAAACAACTCCTCACCGGGAAGCGATATGATTAAATTCAATCTTCTGAAAAATCTCCCAGATATCGCTAAAAGACGCTTGCTAGATTTATTCAATTCCTTGCTAGAAAACAACATTGTACCGCCTGAATGGAGACAGGTCAAAGTAATAGCCATTAAAAAACCTGGCAAATCAGTGTCTGACCATAACTCATACCGTCCGATTGCTATGCTTTCGTGCATTAGGAAATTGTTGGAGAAAATGATCCTTCGGAGACTCGATCAGTGGGTCGAAACAAATAACTTGCTATCAAATACACAGTTTGGGTTCCGCAAGAGCAAAGGAACAAACGATTGTCTAGCGCTGCTTTCCACAGATATTCAACTGGCCTTTGCGCACAAGGAGCAATTGGCTTCAGTATTCTTGGACATTAAGGGGGCTTTTGATTCAGTTTCCATTGAAATTCTGTCAGACAATCTGCACAGATGTGGACTTTCTGGAATTTTAAATAATTTCTTGTACAATTTGTTGTCAGAAAAGCAAATGAACTTTTCTCTTGGACAACTGACAACTTCCAGAATTAGCTACATGGGTCTGCCCCAAGGCTCATGTCTCAGCCCTCTTCTTTATAACTTTTATGTCAAAGATATCGACAACTGTTTGGCAGAACAATGCACGCTAAGACAATTCGCAGATGACGGTGTGGTTTCCGTAAGAGGTCCACATGCCGTGGACTTGCAAGGACCATTGCAAAATTCCTTAGATAACTTGTCTTCTTGGGCTATGAATCTAGGGATCGAATTCTCGCCGCAGAAAACTGAACGGGTAGTGTTTACTCGAAAGCGGTACCCAGCCCAAATGCAGCTTAATCTTTTGGGCAGAAACATTACTCAATCATTGTCTTTCAAGTACCTTGGGGTCTGGTTTGATTCAAAGTGCACTTGGAATACCCATACTACGTATTTGAAGCGAAAATGTCAACAGAGGATCAACTTTCTCCGTTCAATTTGCGGCACATGGTGGGGTGCTCATCCGGGAGACCTCATAACGCTTTATAAAACAACAATTCTCTCTGTTCTAGAGTACGGCTCTTTCTGATTTCTCTCGGCAAGAAAAAGTCACCTAATAAAATTGGAACGAATTCAATATCGTTGTCTGCGTATTGCTCTAGGCTGTATGCACTCAACGCATAACATGAGTCTCGAGGTTCTGGCAGGAGTAACACCCCTCCAGAACCGTTTCTGGGAGCTTTCTCTCAGAATACTAATCAAATGCGGAGTGACAAACACACTTATAAATGCTTATAATTGCTAATTTTGAAGAAATTCTTGGGCTGAACACACAATCTCGATTTATGAGAATCTACCAGCACTACACCTGGGTCCCGTCTCAATGGATCCACTGGCTTCGGTGTCTTCAATGAAAACTCTAGCGCCTTCCGCAAACTTCAGGAACCATATTCCGTTTTTGTTGCTGAACTGGCAGCAATCAACTTCGCATTGGGGATGATTTCCAACATGCCCACAGACCATTACTTCATCTTCACGGATAGTCTCAGTTCGATTGAGGCTATTCGGTCGATGAAACAAGGTAGGCACTCATCTTATTTCCTTTCAAAGGTAAGGGAGCTGATGTGTGTGCTGGTCGAAAGATCATATATGATTACCTTTGTATGGGTCCCCTCACATTGCTCAATCCCAGGCAATGAGAAGGCGGACTCTCTCGCAAAGGTGGGCGCGCAGGAAGGCGAATTGTATGACAGGCAAATTTCACACGATGAATTTTACCATTTAGTGCGTCAGAGTACCCTTTCGAGTTGGCAAACCGATTGGGACACTGGAAGTCTTGGACGGTGGTTACATTCAATTATTCCTAATGTTTCTTCGAGAGCGTGGTTTAAAGGCTTGGGCTTAAGTCGTGACTTCATTCGCGTGATGAGTAGACTTATGTCCAACCACTACTCGCTAGATGCTCATCTCAATAGAATAAACCTCGTGGACAGCAACATCTGTCGGTGTGGAAACGGTTACGATGACATCGAACACGCAGTTTGGCAATGTACGGATAATGACGCCGCCAGAGAGCGACTTTTGAATACCCTCGAGGCCCAAGGAAGACAACCCTATGTTCCTATCAGAGACGTGTTGGCAACCCGTGATCTCTGCTATATGCAGTCCGTTTATGTTTTTCTTCAAATGTCTAGTATAAGAATTTAATTCCTTTTGTCTTTTATCTCTCTTTATTAGTTTTTGTTTGTCTTGTCCCCCGTCTCGATGAGTCTCATCGTTGCCCACTGGTCACCCACCATAGCCGGTCGAACTCCGGACGAAGCTAGAACAGCACTACCGTTCATACTGGTGACAACGCTCTGATGAGACAACGAAACCCTACCCCAAGCTCCTCCCCTGATCCTATCCTTCGAAAATGTACCCTTCTAACCTCGAGTAAGCCGCGAGTAATCGGCCCAACTCCTACTAGACATAGAATTAAGTGAATTTTGTTACACACAGTGAACAATGAATTATCGGCTCCGTAAAGCTAACGCGATTGAGCCTTCCAAATAAACGAACAAGATAAAAAAAAACCATTAGCTAGACAAAATGATTAGTAAATTTTCTCGGTGCGTTTTGTTTGCATTTGAAGAGCAAATTTTCATTATGTCGAAAGTAACATTTCTATTCCTATTTGCAATTATTCCTATTTGCAATTAAACCCATATAATCTCATAGTAACAGCAATGTTTAACATATTAAGCAGGGTTTTAATTATACAAAGCAGATCGCTTGCTCTCATGCTAAAAAATACTGGTTTTTGAGACGAAACTTATTATACGTCGTTTGGTGCCCCCCCTAAAGTTACTTAAGTCAAAGTGTATTTACCAGGATATTCTGGAGAATCATCAATCACGCCTCCTTACGTGCAGCCCATTTATCATTTTAGGACCACCGAAATCATCTTAGCAACAAACAGTTCACTTAAAATTTTTCGCCGAGATCCCAACAGCCAAGCAGTTCTGCAATATATTTTGCTGAGATTCAGTAAAACATTTGCCGAGACTCAGCTAACAAATAACATTTTGCATAAGAAAAGTAAATGCCGGCTGTTGGAGATTTTACCGAGCTAGATTAAGTGTGTATGAGAAAGCGAAACGACGAACGTACACTTTTCATGGGTTTCTGCGCTGCGCTGTTACTTAAGACAAATGACATCTCCATAGAAATCGGGTGTAACATCGAAAAATATTTTGATCGGAAGGTGATTACGTCAAAAAGCAATTTGACTGGTAAATAAATTTAAAAATGGGATGTGATCCTATATTGCGACAGTATAGCATCGATTGACACTGACTTTGGTTTACCTTTGTTAAGCCTGGCGCACAATGCATAAGTTTCCGGGTTTTTTTTACAGATAATGCATGGGCTAATTGTCAAAAAACCTGAAAACTTATCCATTGTGCGCCGACATTTACTTTCGAAGAAATGAAAATTAGCTCTTGATTTTCTCGACATCAACTTCTTTGCATATGGGACTGATATGCGATTCTATAGAAGTATAGACAGTACACTCAGAGAAGGGAATTGAGAACTCTGCGGGGAACTCAGAGAGAAGGGGTTTCACACACACACACACTGTTGCGTACTTACGTCGTTCTCGTTACTCTTCCACAATTTCCAGGCAGTGCGCCACACTACACAAATCCAAAATGAGCCGCAACTATCCGACTATCCGATAAGAAAACCAGTGCTGCAAGAATCGATAATATTATTTGAAAATGAGATTTGATTTAAATTTTATATCGAATACGTTTATTTTTTAGTTCCAGCCTGAGGTCACATTGTGCAGCTTGTATGAAAAAGTTTTTCGTTATGAACTGCGCAAGATTCCCAACAAACATTGAATGCTAAGTAAGAGCTTATCCAGTAAAAAATTTGCTTCTTCAGCTGAAATTACATCCACCGTCAGCTTCAGCCTGACAGTCGTTCAAGTTGGGCTCACAAAGTGATAGAAGAAGCGAAATCTCGCTCTTCGGTCCCAATCTAATCGACGCACCCCTCGAAACATAGGAAAATCCATGAACCCCTCATTTTATCTGTCTTTTTTTTTCCTCTGTTCGGGACATAACACCACTGCGACCAGTAATTTGATCTATTGTAGTATATACCGTGTCCTTAGTTTAGTGCATGTCGTTTTACTCCATCACCATCACTATTGAGAAATGATGAAGTATTCGGTTTTGATACAGTTGTCATTCTTGCCTTCATCGCACGGAATCGATTCTAACTGAAAGGTTCCGCTATTTATACCCTTCGGAGTGTTGAAAAACCCTCCAAAGGCGCGCCCCTTTGTCAGTCAAAATTGGATTCCTTAACAACAAAAACAAGCTATGAAACCGATAATGACCATGCATCAGAACCCTAGTCTTAACCACTTCAAACTAGGGAACAACGAATAGAAGATTAGGAATCACATACATAGCTGAATACTAACTAACTAATTTTTTCCTTGTTTCAAGATCATCCTCAGTCCAGGCAACCCGAGGACTTATCACTATCAACAAGGCATAAAAAGTAACAAGGACTAAGATGTGTTCCTTTGATTACTGAAAAAAAAACCTGTTCCCCTAGTTTGAAGAAGTCAGGACTAGGAATCGGTGGTAGATCTTACATCCCGTAACATACCACGAAAAGGTGATCTACCCACGTTACGGGGCAATCTGTCTTCATAGCGAATCAAAACAAACATTGTGTAGTACTAGAATTTCGAGTATAATGGGGTACGTTAGTCGATTTGCTTGGGACCAATAAGCTAGTCAAGTAGTGAGCTAATTTAAAATCGTTAGTTTCCACCGGTTGGTAGTACTGCCACCTGTAGCCACCATAATCAATGTACTCAACAGGTGGCGGTAATGTTTCAGCGACGATGTTTTACAGTGAGAAATATTCAATGTGCTATGTCCGTCGAACAAAATTACATCCATTGATGTAATCGAGGATGTAATATTGTATCTGCTTCTTGCTATTCATTATTTCAGGCATAACATTTGAAAACGGCACAAAAGCATTTGTAAACAAACTTTCTAAGGCCCTTTACACACGAACCAAAGTACGCCCACGGAAACCAATACCACTTTCGGAAAGGTGATAGTTGCTCCTATCCGATGATGTTGTTGGTTTGCCTGGGAGTACTTGGGTTCGCGTGTAAAGGGCCTTAGAAAGTTTGTTTACAAATGCTTTTGTGTCGTTATCAAATGTTATGCCAGATTTCATACATCATCTTAAATTATGTTGATCGATACTACAATTTTTTTTTACTGTGTGTGCTTGGGCGGCCTATGCTTTACGACGAAAGGGCTTACTAAATTTTGTTCTCAACAGCTGATAAGCCCTTTTCAATTGAGGGTCGTGAAGTGTTTGAACACAAGGGTATTTTACATAAAAAAAACCTGGCAACAATGCTCTTGACGTACGCGTGCTTTCAAATCCCGCACGCACACTTTCAAAATGAAAACCTTGTGCGAGAGTCACCCAACCGTTGGAAGTGCGCGTCGCGCGTGCAATACTCACAACTCACTCGCTCTCTCTCTCTCAGCCGGGTCACTCATTTGTCACTTCCAGTTTCGGTTCTTCGGTTTGCGGTTCGGCGAGAGAACCCGGGCGCGGCCATATTGATTAATCTCGATTTAGAGTGGTTTTTCTCCTTGCAAGAAGCAGTCGTCAGTCTCACAGCCCAGCAGCAGAAAGTGTCCCAAAGTTCCCCCTTTTGCAGAGTGTTTGAAAAAGCTCCAGAAAAGCGGAATAGCGCGTGTGCCTGCGGTGTGCGTTTCGTTTGCCGTTCGTTATTTCGGTCCCTCTGGTGTGGAGAACTAGCCAAGAAGCCGGAAACTTGATCCTCAAGTGTTCCAGGGGTGCGCCGCGCGAGTTCGACGAAGTTCCGTTTTCAGTTTTCTTCCTCCGCGCGTTCAGTTTTTTCGGCGTTTTCCATCCGACGACGACGAGAAGAAAAGGAGTAGAAAGAGAGCGAGAGCAGCAATTTTGCGCTGAAAGAGAAAGAAGGCGAAGAAGAAGAAGCCAAATCGTTGGTGGTGTGCTGCAGAAAGCAGCCAGTAGTACGGAATATAAAGGAAAAGCCGGAAGCCTTCTTTGGATTCGTTGCAACGGTGTGGATTATTCGCTTCTTTCGGTGAAGAAAAAATTGTCGGGAGTGTGTGCCGCGAGTGGCGTGTGAGTGAGCAAAGTTTGCGGATTTCGGTTTTTTCCTTGCGTGGACCTTAGCCGGAAATTTCAACAGATTCTTCCAACATGTCGGAACGCGAGAACAACATCTACAAGGCCAAGCTGGCCGAACAGGCGGAGCGATATGACGGTAAGTGGTGACCCCATCTTTGTCCATTCTCGTTTTAGTTTTTTTTTTTCCTATGCTCGGCCAGCTACATCCGTGCGTGATGTCAGTCCGTCCGTCAGTCTGGGCAATCCATGAGGAGGAACTTTCTTCTTTTTCTTCAATTTTTTTTTCGTGGAAGTAGAGAAACGACGGAATAGGTGTGTTCGGGGGATTATGATGAGGGAACATGCGGACCGTTCCAAATTGAAGGATGGGTCATTTTCTTTTTGCTCCCATGAAAATCAGGATTCGGAAGAATGTTCAGGATAGAGGGTTTTTTTTTTCTCTCGAATCGGCACTTTCGACCGTGCAACGACGGACGGATGATGGCCAGGCAGTAAAAGTAGTATGTGTAGTTGGAAGCGAAAAAGCTAATTACAATTCCTTCACCAATACGTGCGCACGTGCCATGCATCGGCACACGGTCCAATGCGAATGTGTAGGTGTTGAATGGCGTTTGCGGCGGTGCGGTTTGTCAGTGTGGTTGTGTGTTTGCGGGGAAGCCGTGTGCGAATGGAAGTGATGCCAGGGTGTTCGAAATTCGAAACGATCGAAGAGTTTTATCGTTTCATCAACATTTTCGAATCAGGTGTGTTTGTAGTGGGTTTGGAAAATTTGAAGTGGTTTTACGGAAAACTTTAAACCTAAGCATGAAGTGTGTCCTGCTCAGTAACTCGATATTGAAGTGATGATCGTAGATCATCATGAAATTTGTATGTGAAAATCTATTACGATAACCTGGGCCTTTCATCGTGGTAGGGAAATGGTGATCGCATTCAAAATAATAAAGGGGTTCGCACTCAGTTGTTGGCCAAAGAGGCTGTTCTAACACACAATTTACTTGTATAAAACTTCGAAAAATTCGAAGGGGGCGACACATGTAAATCTCAAATCTAGATGCTCAACATATCTCACACTAGCGAATCAATATTCGAAAAAAAAAAATCATTTCTTGCATCTAATTGCATCGCGCATCATCTTTTTGCAAGAAATCTTCAGAATCGTCATCAATCTTCTTTCGCGTGCGCGCAGCTAACCACAGCAAAATACAATTTTTCCTGCATCGTAGATAGAGCAAGGGTTTGACATATAGCTGAATACACGTACTCAACATCAAAACAACATTGTTATATCATGGTACCGCTGACAACGTTGCAGATGTTCGGTACGCAGCAAACTTAAGCGATCTGACAGCCATATCCATCCCCCGAGGAGTCGCCCCCCTCGGAAAAATTATCCCTGTCAAAATTTAAGTTCTTGTCTGTCAGAAATAGCCACGCCCGGATAGCAGGGTTAATCGATAACTTTCCATCTGTCAAATTTTAACCAAATTTAATTAACTACCAAATGGTTCAGAGCCTTAGACGATCCATTTGTACATGATGTATAGTTTATATTTAATTATTCTGGATGTGTACCATTCTTGAAATGGGTAGCTGGATCTGCAATTGATGAATCAAAGTGACGATTGACTCACCGATGGAGAGTGGGTGAAAATGATAATGACGTGTTGATATCTGTCAAATTGCATGACATTTTTTTAATACATCATCATTTTTGTGATTGCGGACCTGAAAACTAGGTGTCGCATGACTAGTTTTGGCTTTGCTTTGATTCGCCAATTGGCGTTTGAATCATTGTTTGCAAACACAGTTACGGCTATTCGACAATTCTCGCTTAACTTTTCAAAAGATCCTAAGTAACAAATGTAAACAAATCGAGTTAATCGATACAAACTACTGCTCTTCATTGTATTTGATACAAAAGCAAGCACTCATCAAAATTTGCTTTCACTTATTTAAGATAATCATAGGTAAAAAATGGTCCAATGTAACAGTTTCAAATGATGGATACTTGATTGTTACTTCGGACATTATGACTGCCTAACATGATTGGTGCTGATGGCATGATGCATGGAAAACCGATGTAAGGTTACAAGAAGTCCAAGATTGATTGATTATGTCATTGAGAAAAATCGTCCAATGTTACATGTACGATGTACAACTTTACTAGTAAAAACATCCTATGTGATTTTTTTTTTCTATATTGTAGTATTAAATTCAAAGTAAAATTGCGATTTTACCTTTTCTACTAAATTTACAACGTTATTATTCACTGAGTACACGGTAAAAATAGTCTTTGGAAAATGTATCAAAAACCCATTTTCATCGGGTCGTGGTCCGACATTCTTATGACGTGTAAAGCCCACCGAAGTCACCCGATTTTTGCGGTGTGGGTGATAGGTGGTTCTCCCAGCAGCTGTTGCAATTCGTGGTTCATTCGCCTCCTCCACATTTCGCAGAATTACAAACCGCGGGCGGTCAATCATGTTCATGCGATCCGGGAATTTAAAAAGTAATGGGAATTCGATGGGAGAACCGGGTAAATCAATACATAATATACGGTTACTTAACGTGTGCGTTGTATTTTTATTTATTATGAACGTACAAGTTTATTATTATGAAAAAAAAAAATTCTGCACAAACTTATTATAGAGTTTATGAAAATAAACTTAAGAGATCGGTATGATTTCTGAACCATGCAGATTTCACCTTTATCTACCAAGGTATGTGTAATTTTTCCAATTAGTTTAATGTTTACAAATTTCAAATTTAAGCTGAAAAGTATTTAATAGAAACTTTTTGAAATTTCTGTGACTAACGCCAAGTTCATACTAGGGAATAACGTGTTACATGATATTTACAAGATAAAAGAACAATAGTGATACATGACAAAAACCTTGTCTTCTTCGTAATTACCATTGAATTGTCTTTGTAATTCCCTGGAAACTCTCCTAAGCCTTTGCTTGGAATCCTTCTCTTAATTCCTTTACAATTTTTATGAAAATTAGATTCCTCAGAAACCCCTAAAATTATTTTCTAAATTTTACTTTCTCTTCTATTTTTTTTTAAATTTGTCTCCTTAATACGTTTTCTTTGATATTTTTCTCTGAATTCCCTTTGAAGTTCTTATCTGAATCTTCCTCAGTATTCCTTTGAAACTATCCTCAGAACACCCTTGAAATTCTGCTTATCATTCTTTTTGAACTCTATTAAGCGTTCTCTTGAAATTCTCCATAAAAACTGCACCTGCATTCTTCCGACGATTCCCATAAATTCTCTTTTTAATCACTTAGTATTTAAATTCAGATCTTCCTTTCTTTTCCGCAGAAATTCATCTCAGAATTTCTTAGGATTTTATTTAAAAAATATCTTGGAATTCTCGTCAGAATTCCGAGAATTTGGTAGAATTTCAGCATTTCTTTCAAATAAACACAAAAATTATGTTTAGGTTTACCTCAAAATTCCATAGGCATTCGCGTCAGAATGACATAACAAAGGTTAAAAGTCAGCAGGGTGGCCCCAGAACTGGGGAATCGAAGAAAAAGCCGAAAATTGGAAAAGGGAATTCGAAGTCACCGGGAAAAACCCGTGAATTTCTATGATAAATCTCTTCGAAAAAAAATAAGATTTCGAACCGTAAGCCTTTGAACTGGATTTGAAGAGATTTTTAGATTATAATGTTGCATGGAAAATTGAGTAGGTTTTAGAATGTATTCTAGTGTTAGCACCACGGCATTTAAGAGGAGAACTCTTAGAGAGTTTTGGCTAGAACTCCAAGTAAATTGTTTTCAGAGTAGAATTTTAAAGTAGCTCTGTGGAAAATTTCATGACGATTGTGAAGAGCATTCCATGATCCATGAAAAATACCGGATTTTTAGGGTATAATTCCAAAGGGGATTTCGAGGATAATTCAAAGGGCAGTTTTCGGAAGAATTTAGAAGAGAACTCCAAGATAATTCTGAGCAAAGTTTTAAGACATTTACAAGATTTCTAAAGCGAATTCAATCGAATTATGGATGGCTTGAATTCTTGGACAGAACTTTAAAAATCGAAGCGAATGATTTCTTGGATTGTTCTGTAGATAATTTCTGGGCTGGGACTCCCAAAGAGAATCTCACTTTTCAGATTCATTCTGAAAAAATGAATGAAAATTCTAAGGGATTCTAAAGGAAATGGTTGAACATATTCCAACTACCTGTAAAGAGTTTTGAATGAAGTAAAAACATACAAATTTTGAAGATTGCGAACGCAGAATCAAATTCAAGCTCAAAGGAAATGTTGCTGTCTTAATAATGAATCATTTAATCCTTTCGGCTTTCGGCTTTATGCCTAATTTAAATGTATAGGGGAAGTGCACCAGTTTTGGCCATAGGTTCAATATTCGTGTATTTTGTGGTCGAAATGTTTATGTAGACCGATGAATATAATTTGTACCAAAAAATTCAACATCTCAAAATTGCAAACAACGTGAAATATCGTCAAAAGGTGGCTTAAATAGAAACATGGCCAATACTGGGGCGTTTTTCTATCACACAACCGGGAAAATCATTAAACAATTTTCACGCACTCACACTCAATCAAATTTTCGGCCTACTAGACATAACCCGTACTTAACCTCCCTTTTTTCAAGAGGGTTTTTAGACAAAATTGAATGTTTTCAATGCAGATGACTTCTAAATTTATTTACCTTTTCATATAGGTATACCGTTGGGTTTGACAAAGAGTCACAAATTGTTTATATTTTGTTAAAAATGAATTCAGCCTACGGGTTTCAATTTCGTACAAACACATAGGAACGTCATTGGATTTACTTCGTCATACGGATGAAGGCAAAAATGGAATGGAAAAATTGATTCGCTTGGAGTGCTTCTTCTATTTTTGATAACTAAGGGTGTAAATATTCATACTTTGCGCTCTTAAAGGTTTCGTAATAGTAGCCTTTGAACAAAAGGATCGTACAGCCGTATAATTAAATAGTTGAAAATCATAGATATGTTTGATGTTTACTGCCCGATAGAACGAAAATGGGCGATCAGGCCAAACGAAATGTTTACCCTTCATAGGCTCTAGGCTGTCAGATCTAGGACCTTAAACCACCGACAATCTTTAACTAAATAACTGAATCTAGAAGCGAGCTAG